GTTTTAGCACGTCTATCCAAAAATGGCTCCATGGCTTCTTTTTGACTCCACCTCTTTTCTTCCAGCATTCCATTTAGTTTTCCCTACCTAGCTCTGCTCCCCTATAGCTTTGCTATAGTCCCAAAGCAGTTCCTTTATTAACCAATAATATTTACAGCATACAGAGGGAAATCCCACATCAACTGACAACTTCCACTCTTCACCACCTTGGGGGGGTCTCCCCAGCAATAATTAAAATCTGGAGTCTGAGAACTAAGTGCAGTTAGTTAAGTAAGCCAATGAACAGCTGTAATTTACTTTGCCCGTGCTCTCTACTACCTTCTGAACAAGATAGATAGATAGATAAATAAATAGATAGATAGATAGATAGATAGTAGGTGGCTTCAAGTAGATACCATGTAATAAATAAAACAGAGATAACAATTATTACTGCATTGTGCTTGGAGAGTGGAAGCTGCATGAGACCCTGTGCCATGGGGAGAGGTAGATAGCACAGAGGTCCTCGGAATACTGATAGCCAATACTAAACCCAAAACCTGCTGCAATTTTTCAAATGGCATATCCTCCTTATTTCAAGCACAGTCATTGTTACATATGTCAATGGCACTGGGCAAAGAACTCAAACAGAACTCATTCTTAAGGAAAATGTAAAAAGACAAGTTAGATGGCTCAGTTGGTAAAAGTTCTTGCCACTGCATCTACCAACTTAACTTTGATTTCCAAGACCTACAAGGTGGAAGAAGAGAACCAAAACCAATTTTGCATTATTGTCAAAAGATCCAATATTAACGAATAGGTCAATTCTGGTAGCTTTCTAACTTCCATCCTGAGACTAGATTCCAAGACAGAATTGCTAATGACTAGAGATGGAAAGTCAGAACTACAGCAAAAAAGAAGATAAACCTCTAACTGTTGGGAATGTTATATTAAGGTGTGTTACTTTTGTTTATGCTGCATTTGTTTAACTCTGTGAAGTTGTGATACCTTGTTGGTCTAGAATACCTTTTGATCTAATAAAGATCTGAATAGCCAATAGCGAGGTGGGAGAAAGGATAGACAAAGCTGTCAGGCAGACAGAATATATAGAAGGAGAAATCTGGGTGGTTTGGAGGAGTAGCCAGAGAAGGAGGAAGGAGACCAGGGGCGAGCCATCCAGCTACAGAGTAAGAGTAAGATTTACAGAAGTAAGAGAACGGGAAAAGCCCAGAGACAAAAGGTAGATGGGATAATATAAGAAAGCTGGCAAGAGACAAGACAAGCTAAGGCTGGACATTTGTAACTAAGAACAAGCCTCTGTGTGACTTATTTGGGAGCTGGGTGGCAGACCCCATAAAGAGCAAAAAGAGCAAAACTATCATACTACTACTACACCTAATATTCCAAAAGAGTTCCCCAGACAAATCACAGAACTCACCTGTGTTTGGATTAAGGGACTGCTTTTCATAAATAAGGGTTAGGGAGGAACCACCCATCTGAATGTCTCTAGGACAAGTGCTTCAATAGACAAAACTAACACTGACTTAATTTAAAAGTTAGAAAGAGAATCAATCGAGCTGTGGTTTAAAGACTAAGCAGCTTTGCCAAATGTTAAACTTGCCTCTCTACTTGGCTAAAGAGGCAGGAGGACTGCACTCTCTAGCCAGCGGATTTGCTTAGAAATGCAAATAATTTCTGACAAAAGCCACACCCAGATGTAGTTCCATCCAGATTATTCCTGAATGGAACTCTGTGATGTCAGCTCAGGACTTCTGAATGTGCCCTCAGCACAGTCCAGTGGACAGTTCCTGCGTTCAGGAAGCTGGGAGAAGCGGGTCAATAGATACCAATATTGTGTTTTATGTTGTTTTAGAATAGTGGTTCTCAACTTGTGAGTCATGACTCCTCTGGTGTCAAAGGACTTTTTCACAGGGGTCACATATAAAATATTTACATTGCCATTCATAATAGCGGCAAAACTGCAGTTATGGAGTAGCAATGAAATCATTTTATGGTTGGGGGTCAACATAACACGAGGAACTTTATTAAAGGGTAGCAGCATTAAGAAGGTTGAGAACCACAGTTTTATTGGTCCTTCCATTGACGAAGGTGATCTTCTTCATTGAATATATTGGCTGTGCTTTGATTTGATCATTTGTTTGGTGATTCATATAAAGTTATGTCCAAAAGAGAATCAAAATCAGAAGAGTCAACATAGGTTAGGTTGGGAGGACAAAGACATTCTAGAACCAGTTACTCCCTTGAACAGCTGAAACCCATCAGCCCTAAGGGATGGAAAACTGACTTTGGTATTTATAACAGTGACCATGAGTCATTTCTCATAGTTTCCTTAGAAATACCTTATAAATTGTGAAGGAGGTTAGGAAAAAAATTACTAGATTAAACAGAAACACACAGAGACATCCAATGGGTTGATTAAAATGTTAACTGGCAAGACTTGAGAGAGGGCTCAGTGTGAAGCTGCTTGTACCGAGCCTAAGTTGGACCCCCAGGAAACGGATGAAAAAGATACCCAACTGCCCAGATTATCCTCCGACCTCCATATAGTAGTGTGCATGTGCACATACTATAAATAAACAAGTGAAAATAATGTCTCTAGCTTGAAAACACAATGGCCAGGGGGACTCAGGGGCGTCTGCATTACTTCTCATAATTTTGAGTAAACATTAGCAGCCTAGATGTCCATCAATACATAAATGTCTAAAGTGTAGTGAACCTATAGTTTTATTTTATCCAGCTGTAAAGAAACATTATAACATTAAAAAAATGGGTCACCATATTAAGTGAAATGAGCCAGCCAGACTCAAAGACAAATTGCATTTTCTCCTGTGTGTGGAGTCTACATTTCAGTTTACGCGCACACACACACACACACACACACACACACACACACACACACACACACACACAGAGAGAGAGAGAGAGAGAGAGAGAGAGAGAGAGAGAGAGAGAGAGAGAGAGAGAAAGAGAGAGGATATGAAAGTGGAAAGGGAACCTGAGAGGGAGAAGTCTATGTAAAGGGAAGGGGGAGGAAGGAACACAAGAATAGAAAGGGAAGTATGGGGGAGAATGGAGGGATTACAGAACGAATCAGGAAGGGCTGTGTGGGGAGCTAATAAGAACAGTATAATGACATACAGATGTGAATGTATTTCTTTGTTAAAAATTAATTTGAGGATAATCAAACTTTCTTTTTTTCTTTTCTTTTTTCTTTTTTTGAGACAGGGTTTCGCTGTAAAGCTGTCCTGGAACTAGCTCTGTAGACCAGGCTGGCCTCGAACTCACAGAGCTCTGCCTTGCCTCTGCCTCCTGATTGCTGGGATTAAAGGCACGCCCCACCACTGTAAAATATTCCTGAGAAGAACCCTTAAAGTAAGGGTCTCAACCAACGAAAAGTGTTAACTATTTTTAACAGTTCTTTAACGTTTCATCCACCCCTTCAGCGACCACCCCGAAGACACCATTCAGACAGAGCACATTCTGCTGCTGAGCACACCCACAGAACATGGGACCCCTCACCGTTCCCTCCAAATCACTACCCCTTGCAAATGGGTAAAGGACTGAGAATGATGTAATATTTTACTCAAACAAGAAGATAAAATGCTTCTTAAAATTCCCAAGAAACAACTAATGCATACATTACAGCTGAGGGGTACTCAACAGTGGATCCCCATGAACTAAATACTCCGCTATATGGGCAGATGGAACAGATAACTTACATCCAGTTAATTTTCCTGGACTACAATAGCTACCCCTGTCTTTGAGTAAAGAGGCTCTAACAGGGCGGTTCTCAACCTGTGGGTCCCGACCGTTGGGGTCCAGCGAACCAGGGGTAGCCTGGTTCAAAAAAAACCCCAGATATTTGAAAAACAATTTGTAACAGGAGCAAAATTACAGCCATAAAGTAACAACGAAAATAATTTTATAGTTGGGGGTCACCACAACATGAGTGCAGCGTTCGGAAGGTGGAGAACCACTGCTCTAACGGGATCAGCGTACTACTCAGACATTAACGTGTTTAAAACGGTCTAAAAAACATGTCCAGCAGTGTCTGCTTACAGAACACATTTGTCAAGTTCAATTTAGCATCCACCAGGAACACACACAAAAAATGCCCATTCGTAACACTACTTAAAAATTGAAACCGGAAGTCAAACATTCAAGTGTTAATTTGTCTGCTCTCGCAGTCCGTGTTGACCTTGACGGAAGCTCAAATTAACCTCATTTCTGGAAACACTCACGACTTTGTTTAATTTACAGCGGCTAGCTGGACGTCTGGTAAGTGGTGTGCTTACTAGCTACTAAACACTCATTTGGGGAAGGCAGATCAGCCCCTCCCCCTCACACTAACCCAGAGTGGTTTTTTTTTTTTTTTTTTTTTTGTCAGTCCTCTAAATCCGATTCTGTTTCTTGAATTGCTGCTTCATTGTGAAATTTTAAACTTCAGTTATTCACTTATTCACATATTCACAGTACTTCGGGCTCTAGACTCCTGGCAAGTTGGGTTGTTGTGGGGAGTTCTGGAAAATTATGTTTTCATGGCATTGTACATTTTTTTGTGCATTTCCCTTGAGGCTTTTAGCGAACACTCAAGTTATTCCAATCAGAGAATATGTCTAAAGAGGCTAAGTGGCATCAATGCAACATTTGGAAAGCCCTTTCCTCCCGCACCCTCCCGTGTTTTTACCAGTTCTCGCCCCTCCCTCCTTGACATCCCGCGCAGCCAACGTGAAGCCCCACGCAAAACGAGCGAGGTGGGCTCTCAATATTCTGACATCATCAGCAAGGATGCATCCTAAGTCTGAACCAGAAAAGGACGCGCATCCGGGTCCAGGTCACCGCCCAGAAGCCAGGAGCCACCGTCCCCTCCTTCCCCAGCAAGAAGAAAGTAACCCTAGGGCAGGAGAGGGGCGCATGGGGAGCGGGACCGCGGGGTGACGGGAAGCCAGCAGTCATCTCCACGCACCTCCGGGGCCAACGAGTACACGTGCGCGGCCACTCACCAGCAGTCGTGCGTGTCGGGTGTTCGCGTGGGACGGCGACTGTGGCGGCTGCCCCTGCGCGGGCCGCGTGGCTCGGGCATCCGTGTGGCCGCTGCAGCCGGGGCGGCGGTGGCTGCTCCGCAAGTCACCGGTGCTTGGTGACTGTGGCACCAGGCTGGGAGGCGCCCGCGAGCCGGTCCGGGCCGTGCCTCCTCTTGGTTCTTTCTGCTCGTGGTCTGACGAGCTCTGCTGCCTTCCGTGGCTTGGGCTCGCTCTTGGGGGCGGGACAGCCCCAATGCCTTTGCAAATCCACGCACGGCCGTGACCTCCGAATCTGTGGCGGCTTTCTCTGCGGCAGCAACGTGGGGAAAGAAATCGTCGCTGCTTCGGTCCTGGCCTCCCCTGCCCCGGCCCCTGGGTGCCGCCTCCGCCTCTGCCTCCGCCCCCTCCTCCGTAGCCACAGCCTCCCACGTGCTGCAGAAAAACCTCCGGGGTGGCGGGTCCCTGCGGATCTCTTAGGGCCAGAGTGAAACGGTTGCCTGTGCTTTATCCCCCCTAGATAACCTGCACGCTCGCTGCCCAAGGTTGGACGGTCCAGCGAACCACCAGCGTCTCCTAGAAGCAGGGGAATAACTGGGCGATTTCAAAACTGCAGAGTACACAAGCCATGATGATGCAGCCGGATCTGCCGGTGGAATGGCTCCGGATATAGGATTACAACTTATGTAGAAATCCCATTTTGAGATTTGTCTGTGACTAAGCGCTCCCGCCACGAAACACTCTCTGTCTCTCCCCGCCTTCTTGAGATAGTAAAATACACATTATTACTATAGTTAATCATCATATGCAGCGTCTTTAATATGGCCATCCACCTGTGCCAGACACACGCTACACGCATTGTGACATATTTGCTACAGCCCCGCGTATAAAAATTGCATCTTATACTATTTCCTTGAATAAGACATAAAGTTAAATTATTTAGCTACAATTTTTTTTTCTCAGCTTCAAAGTAGTAGAAGATGCATTTTAAATCTGAGAGTATGGAAGGAGGAGGAGGGAATGAAGGAGTCCGGAGAAGCCACTGTGATTTGGCATCTGTGCTGGCTAGTTTTATGGCAACTTGGCACAAGCTAGAGTTATCTGAGAAGAGAGAAACTGAATTGAGGAAATGCCTCCTTAAGACAGGGCTGCAGGCAAGCCTATAGGGCATTTTCATCGTGATCCCTGTGCAAAGGCCCAGCCGACTGCAGGTGGAGCCATCTTCGGGCAGATGGCTTTAAATTCTACAAGAAAGCTTACCGAGCAAGCCATGAGAAAGAAGCATGGCCTTAAGCAGCGCTCCTCCGTGACCGCCCATTGCTGCTGTGTTTGAGTTGCTGCTATGACTTCCTTCGGGACTGCGCAGTGGCAGCGAAATAAACCCTTTCCTCCCCAAGTTGATTTGGTCATGGGCATTATCACAGAGATGGAAACCCTAAGACTTCATCAAAAACTGCTTCATTGAGGGACCAGATCCTACCAACTCGCCAACATATTAGGAACTGCCTGCTACTGATGAGACTGGGGATCTTTTTTTCAATTAAGCTGGGAGGAAAGACCACAGGCAGGGCAAGGCACACTGGCTTTCTTGGTTGCTTTTCCTTTGGAAACCAAACTTGCAACCCTGACTCTGTCACTTTCTGAACTGTTTGGCTCACCCTTGCCACCTTCTAAGGGGCGTCACCCTACTGTGGCATATATAAAAGCAGCTTCAACCCTCAGAGGCAGTCTGCAGCCTTGGTTTTGAAGAGACAATGGCGTTGGTTTTTGTTGTTTTGCTTTGTTCCAAATATCAAAACCAGAAAATTCCCTGCATATTCACATTTTAAATTCTATTTTTTAGTTTGCTGTGGGAGGAATTAAACCAGGAGCATCAAGAGGACTAAGGATGAGTTCTATCTAGCCTTGAGCAATAGCTCCAGCACCCCAAAATTCAGATTTGTAGAGTTTTTCAAAAAAAGTTTTAAGATGGTCCACCAGCTCTAGCTGAGTAGCGTGTGGCTTCTTCAAATTCTTCAGCTTTCCACAGCGCGGAGTCCATCAGTCCTGAGGATGTATGCACTTCAATGGCATTTGAAGACTTCGTAGACATTTGCGTCTAATATTCTGGAAGGAATATTCTTCTCTACTACACAATATTATCCTGGAGATAATAATGAGAAAATAATCACATTCTGTAACTCTACCTATGTATTTATAACAGTGACTGGTCATGTGACTGACTTACCGCCTAGTCACATGCAGACGCAGAGTAGGGGGGTGCATGCCTGTAGTTCCACATCATCAGAGTCTGAGGTGGGAAAACTCACTTGACTTGAGAGCTCCGGGTCAGCGTGGCCAGCAGGGAAAAAAAAACCCGTCTCAAAGCAAAAACAGCATTTGGGACAAGGTAGTTCAGAGGATGAAGATGTTTGCTGTCGTGTTTACAGACCTGAGTTTCGTCCCTCCTACATGGTAGAAGGAGGACCAGCTCTTAGAAACTGTCCTCTCATGTCCACGGGCATATGTGTGTGCTCGCACGTGTGCACGCATGCACACAAAATAAATGAGTAAAATAAATGTTGAATTAAATTTTTTTTTCGGTAAAAATCAAAATGAGCCAATATGCTCTGTCCTCATATTCTCTTTTTGACAGGCAGGACACTGTTATCTGACTTAAATTCAACTAGTCAGAGGCTCCTAGCTGTCTTTGGATCTAGATTTTGTTATTTAAAAACCTTAGAAAAAGTTCTCTCATCTGTGAAGGGGCGCCCCAGGGTGACAGTGATACTGTTCTATAAAGCCAGTGCTGTCTAAGTGGGCTGACGGAGTAGTAAAACCTATTCTGACTTCAAACGGCCAGCTTCCATGCCTGTCTGATATGCAGCTTGGTGGTTTTCCTGTACCTTTCCAGTTAAGTTAGGTGGAAATAGTTTGAATTTGCCACAACCATTTGGAGGCGACTTAAGCACTTTATGAAGAGGTAGTACAAGAGTCTGGAAATTTTATCTTAGATTTCAAATTTTAATCCATGTTATAGTTTTTTATTTCATTTTTAAAGACCCAGTTTCAAGATTAGCCCAAAATCTGCAAATCTAAGGGGAAATTGAAGAGAGAGATCGAGAGAGAGAGAGAGAGAGAGAGAGAGAGAGAGAGAGAGAGAGAGAGAGAGAGAGAGGAACCTATAACCCCAGCTATTCAGGAAATTGGGAGTGGAGGGTCTCTAGCTGAAGGCTAGGCCGGGCCGCAAAGTTCAAAGCCAGGAGACCAAATTCGTGAGATCCTTTCTCCAAATAAATGATAAAAAGCGGTAAAGCAGTGGTTTAATATGCACGAGGCCCTAGATTCAGCCTCTCCTGGCTGAATAAATAAAATGTAATAAATCATGTTGGCAGAGTTGCTTGTTTATAGATAACCATTTCTGTATTGCTGGCTAGGGCACAGTTAAAGGAGCTCCCTCATCTGGGGTGCCATTCTTATATGTTGATGGGAAATGAATTTTTCTGTATGTTAACAAAAAGTCAAAAATGCGCATGCTCCTCTCCCCTGTAATGCCATTTCTGAGAAGGGATGTATCCAGGCAGAGTCGGACGTGAGGAGTGAGAGTTTCCCATTGAGCTATTTACGACCAACTGTGGGAATCACAACGTTTATGGTGCCCTTTAAGGACGTTGGAACTGATGCTGAGACTATGTTAATCAAACGGGGTCACAGAATTGCTATTCATGTATAAAAATAATTCCTTGAGAGCCGGGCAGTGGTGTCACACGCTTTTAATCCCAGCACTTGGGGGGCAAAGGCAGGTGGATCTCTGTGAGTTCAAGTACAACCTGGCCTACAGAATGAGTGCCAGGACAGACAGGTATGTTACACAGAGAAACCCTGTATGAGAAACAAAAAAACAAACAAATAGCAACAACAACAACAAAAAAAAAAAACAGAAAAAAAATATTAAAACCTCCTAGATATTAGTTAGGGTAGTTATTGTCTCCTTTATATCAAATCATATTTTCAACTTTTCTATAAAGCCCATGATTTTCTTTTATTTAGGAAGGAGAATTTAATAGTTAAGAAGTAAATTAGATTGGTAGCCAGATGCTGGTGAGACTATTCTTGTCACGGTCCCTGATTTATAAGAGGTGCATCACAAGTATATGGGAAAGGAACAAAAGAAATGAAGGGAAGGAGAAAGGAAGGGAGAAGGAAAGAAACAAACATTGTATCACAAAGAGCTGTGAATTAGGGATGCGACTCCTTGTCCTTTGCTTAGTTGCTGGCACTCATAGAAATAGGACAGTGCACTCCAAATTGCTTCATTGAGCAACACCACACTCCAGTATTTCCCAACTGATGACAAATGAGTCCCTCTGGATGCGCAACACAGCCAGATGCAGATTTTTCCTGCCCCACAACATCAGAGATGATCTGTCCTGAGATGTGGAACAGCCCCAGCATGCTGGTTCTCAAAGCCAAATGATCTCTTCCAGCCTCCGGTTATAACCCAGAGATCTGCACGCTAGTTAAGAAACCGGGATGCCAAGAACTTGAAGCGGTCACTAAGTTCCCTGTTTGTTGGGATCTTGTCTCTGGGAGCTGGCAGTACGAAGTATGCTGGGCTAAATTTGCCTTAGTCGGGATGCTAAACTGTTTGTGTCCTACTCCACCAGTTTGAGGTATGTACAGAAAGTGGTGGTCTCTTGGCTCAGCCCTACACAGTGGCTCCAGACTGGCTGGAGTCCTTGTACTTGATTGTAGATTTAGAATTTCCCGGCTCTGGCTTGTGTTTAATGTCAAATTTCAGGAAAAAGGCAAGTGCCAAAACACCCAACTGACTCTACTTGAAGACTTGAGAATACTTTGTACTTGGAAGTAAGGAGAACCTTCTAGAAAGCACTCATTCCTATAGTTCTGCTTTTGCAGTCATTTAGACCAGGCCTCAGGAGTTCATGAAACCGTTTCGGTCAACAAACTCAAAAGGGTTTTCATGAAAACACAAAGGCATTAAATGATAGTTTCTCTCTCATTCTCTCACAAGTTTGCAATAGAGAGCTCCGGATCTATATGTGTGCTGTTGACCCAACTTGAATGCAGATAAGGATAGAAAAATTGGGTCATCTCTCAAGCTGGGCAGCAAAGAGATAGAAAACAGAGTTGGGCGTATAGCTTGTTGCTAGTATACTCACTTAGGTCATGTAAGGTCTTGGGTTTGTCTCCACCCTGGCATTGCCAAGAAAAATAAAAACCTAAAGAAATTCGGAGATTAAAAACTTTGAGAGTCACTGGTATGTGCTAAAAAAAATATTTTCCATTTTCAGTTATAGCTAAGGTTGGTTAGCCTGAGCCTCTTAACACAGGAAGAACCATTCAGATCGGAAACCGTGGGCACACTCGACATTTTCCACATGTGAGCTTTATCTGGGTGCCCCCCCCCCCCCACACACTTTAAACTCAGATGGTTTTATATTCCTTTGTGCTAGGATTAGGGGCCTGTGCCATCACACCCAGTTTTATGTGTTTGTGTAACCTGGAGAAGCACTCTACCAAATGAACTATATCCCTAGGCCCTACCACTTTTCTCAGATCGCCTTAGCCTGAACTTGCCCTTGAGTGGCCAGAGAGAGACAGACAGGTATTCGCTAAGGTGCAATCCTTGATGTCTCTACTCCACTCTTGCTCCTTCAGGATCTCACCTATTACCTGGGTTCTGCCTGCCAACACTGGGCAGATACTCTCCCAAATCTATACCAAGAAGTTAATTTCTCAAGACTGCCATTGCTTCTCCTGTGTCCATCCCAAACACATCATCATTTTACTTTGTTATTTTGATTTTATTCTTTCCATGTCCAACACTGACAACATTTGCAGTCAAGGTTCAAGTCCTCCCTGGGCATCCCCACAAACAGTGCTAGATGCTTTATAGATGGGATTTCAGTTAATCCTCGTAACGGTTGTAGTTCCTGAAGAAACTGAAACTTGGAGGTCAGCCATTTTAGTCAATACACCTGAGTCAATTCTTTGATTTTCTGTAACACAGAGAGCAAAAGGGTTTTTAGGACTGGTATCCCCAGAGCTGGTGCCTGACTTAGGGTTAATTTTAGGGACTATCATTCCTCTTGCATCTCAGGGGTCCTTTCCAATAGTCTAGCCCCAGGACCCTAGTAATTATATAAAAGCCATTATGCAAAAATGCAGCAACCAATCCTAATACAATCCTGCCTTTCACCCCAAAGGACCTAAAATGTTGTTAGTGTTTGGAGAGGCAAAGTGCCAGAGAGTATGCTGTGATTAGGAATGGACTGTTTCACAGGAGGGTTTGGGCCTTTTTCTTTGACACTGTGTATCTCCTTGAAGCTAGAAATTTAAGGGCTATGGTATTTCTATTAGAAATCTCTAGTCTAGGACTGAAGATATAAGCAGGTCATCCAAGGTTGAGTTCTCTGAAGCCCCTTCCTGAGCTCTTGAAAATAGATGAGGACTATTTCTGAACTGCCCAGGGCAACAGAGTCTGTGTGTGCTGTTTCTAGTAATGGCACCAGGAGGCTCACCTCCAAAAGGAAGCAGGGATTGAGAGTCAGGGTGAGGCGGTGTTGAGGAAAAAAAAAAAAGGCATTTCTAAGGCTCAGAACTGAAAACCACTGGGTACCTCCTAGAATTTGACTTAAGAGAAATGAGGACTAAGTAGGAGGATGTGGGTGGGTCTTGGGAATAGGAGGAGCATAAGAGAAGATCCAGGGATGAGTATGACCAGAACATATTATAGACATGCTTGAAGTTGTCAAAAATAAATTAAAAAATAGTGAGAATGTTATTATCGTTTTGTTTGTGTGTCAATTCAATAAAACAATTCTTTTAATGTGTGAGTTAAGTCACAGAAAATAATGCATGACCTTTAATAATATCATTAAGTTCGTTTGGACAGTATCTTTGTGTGTACATGTATGTGTAAGTATGTGTGTGTTTGTATCTGTGTGTGTGTCAATGCAAAAGTGCAACTCTCACCTCAGACGAGATATGAGGTCGTTTATGTTGGAGACAAATATGAGTTTCATGGCCTGGAAACAAAAAGCCAGGTTCCCCCAAATTTTGCGTTCCAATGTGTGAGCAGTCTGAAGTCTTTATACCAGAACAAAGAATGTCACAGGTTGACGCTTTTCAAATACACTGGTGGAAGCATCATGTGGTGGCTAAAGTAGGTGGAGAAATCTGTTACAGGCCTCAGCTGCTCCCTGACACCGCATTAGCCTTTTGTCAGGTGAGAGTGTCTGCTATTACATTCCAGAAACACGTTACCTGTTAGTTTCAGGAACACTAGGTCGGAGAGAAGGGTAGGCATGGCTACCACAGGGGCTGAAGATAACCTAAGAAAAATGGTTTTAGCTTCTGGACCTGTAACTCTTCACAGTCTCAGCCTTGCAGAAGGTTCAAAAGCTCAATGTAAGGTGGGGATCTTTCCAAGAACTCCCATTTCTGTGTG